CCTCAACCTAACTCACATCCTATCCTCCTTTTTTAGAATTTCAACCGCTGGGCGAACACTCGTTTCAATTAACTAATGAATTAAGTGGAATTTGATTTTTTAAGCACATGGAAATTCTCGTAAATGCAGTTCAGAAATAAGTTATTTTCAAACCCCTTTCGATTGATACCCATCTTTTGATAATCCATTTAACTTATTATTTAAATAATTTCAGTTGATTTTTTTCAACAGGTGGCAGCCCTTTTCTGATACCCTAAGAAAACTCTAAATGTTCAATGTAAAGATTTCTTAACGCTCGTTCGTCTGATACCCATGTTTTAAAATTTCATGTAACTTATGTATAATTAAACTAAATACGACTTTCAAAACAGGCGGCAACGCTCTCAAATAGTATTTACGAACTAAAATTTCTTTAAATATTTTTGGTCTGACGTTGTTATAAATACTTAAAGTAACTGATGAATTAAGTTGAAATTTATTTTTTAAACACGTGGAAATCCTGCTAAATATAGTTCTGATATAAACTAACTGGGGCAACCCTAAAACACACCCAAAATATTCTAATTTGTCAAACTAAATATTTCATAAATCTTTTTCAACTGACATCCAGTTTTAATATTTCATATAACTTGGGTAAAAAATATTTTAAATCAACTACTCAAATAGATGGCAACCCTCTTCAAAATACTTCAAAACTACTACCTTCTTAAAGCTCTTTTGTCTGACACCCATATAGTGATACCTTATTCACTTATCAAATTCCTTTAATTCAAACTGAATTACAATTTTTAAACATGTGGTAAATCTCCTACACGTAGTTAAGATATGAAGCCTATTTCGGTTGATACCCAAATTGTAACAATTGATTAAATTTTTTAATTAATTTGAGCTTAATTTTTTAACAGGTGGCAGGTTTCCTAAAAAGTAAAACTTTTTTGAACATCCACATTCTAAGCACTTTAATTTGACACTTTTGATTATTAAATAACTTGAGTTTAATTATTTAACAGCAGACCTGATGACCTGGACAAAAAATCCCTTCCCGTATTATAATAACGGGTGATTTTTTTGAGGTTAGGATTTTCATGCATTAGTATTTGACAGATCACGTGGGATTTCAGACATGGTGTCAAAGAGAAAGATGCTCAGTATGCTTTGACATTTCATCATGAATAGACTTACTAACGAGCAACGCTTGCAAATCATTGAATTTTATTACCAAAATCAGTGTTCGGTTCGAAATGTGTTTCGCAAACCCAATTGCTGCGAACGGCGACGAATCGACATTTCACGGTCTTCAGCAACACTCTCAGAAACAGACGCAATATTCTCTTCTGTACGCACTGTACGCATTCGTGTGGTTGGTTTAATGTCCAATAAAGTAAACTGAGTGCGAAACTTGGTCACAATCGCATTAATTGTTTGCTCACTTGGTCGATTATGTAGACCATAAATCGGACGTAAAGCGAACCGAACACTGATTTTGGTAATAAAATTCAATGATTTGCAAGCGTTGCTCGTTAGTAAGTCTATTCATGATGAAATGTCAAAGCATACTGAGCATCTTTCTCTTTGACACCATGTCTGAAATCCCACGTGATCTGTCAAATACTAATGCATGAAAATCCTAACCTCAAAAAAATCACCCGTTATATATGTAGATAGATATAGATAAGCAGAGTTGCGAAACATTTTAACCAAATACATTGCATATTTTGATTATTTAATATAACAATGATCACCCTTTCGGAATTTTCAATTTTTAAAACCAAAATGGTAACTTTTCAGATGCGTATTGGAAAAGTATACATCGTCAACATTTTGCAGTTCGGCATTATGGAACATTATACTTTATACGGATGCAATGCAATTGACGTTTTGGAAGTCAGCGTATCTGTAAATTTTGCTACAAATGTAGAAAAAACAAGCAGTTTTTACAAGCTTTTATTTAACTTACATTGTATGTGTGTATGTACGTACATACCCAGCCAGCAGAGAAACGTACTTTTTGCCGAAAGTGCAGTTTTCGTACATTTTTCTTATTCGGAAACGTTCAGAAAACGATTTCCATATTTGTTAATTTTTCGTATCCGAAAAATGTCATCATCGTATTTCAAAACAATAATTTTAAAATATTTGTTCAAACTGAGCATTTGAAAACATGTATACGTATTCGTCAGTAGCTGAGTGTGCAGAGAAGTGTGCTGCTATTTGTTAGCTTTCAGGAGGTCCAGGTTCGAATTCCGCCAGAAGCAACACATTAAAATTATTTATTCAAATTGAAATAATTGCTGAATCTTAAAATTGTTTTTTGTTTGGTTTCCAGTAAATATGAAAAAGTTTCTGTGAAGTTCATAATGAAATCGTTTTCAACGAAAAATTGAATCAGACAAATTTCAGGAAAACAGCCGAAAGCGCATCCGTTTTAAGACCATTTTCGATAGTTTTCTGCACATACATTTCGGCTGAACACTTTAGTGGGAGAATTGATCTGAAAAACATCAGGTTTTTATACGAAATTGTTTCCATTTTCGTATACGTTTCCGGATATTTTGCTGGCTGGGTATTTAGGTATGTATGTTTGTTTGGGTCAAATTTGGCAGATAACCTGATAACCAGACAAGTGTGAACAACCTCAGAGTTTTGCAATTTCAAACCCAGCTCAGAACCCGATGACAATGCAATATGAAAGATGAACTAAACCGCTAGGTGGCATAGGAGTCGAGATTTTTGAAACCCTCGTATTTATAGTCCGATTTGGTTCATATTTAAAATGTTAACATGGAAGGAAATAACTAAACAAACGTGCTGTAGGTAGCGCGGGGGTCGATATATTTCGAAAACCTGAATCTATAGCCAGATTTAGTTTGTATTTGAAACATATATCTTCTTCTTCTTCTTTTTTTGGCGCTGTAACCGCCTAAGCGATTTTGGCCGAGTTCAGCAAAGCACGCCAACCATTTCTCCTATGTGCCAACTGACGCCAATTGGAAATGCCAAGTGAAGCCAAGACCTTCTCCACCTGATCTTTCCAGCGCAGTGGGGGCCTCCCTCTTCTTCTGCTACCACCAGCGGGGTCCGAGTGGAATACTTTCAGAGCTGGAGCGTCGGTGTCCATTCGAACGACATGGCCAAGCCAGCGTAGCCGCTGTATTTTAATTCGCTGCACTATGTCCGTGCCGTTGTAAAGCTCATATAGCTCATCGTTCGATCGTCTTCGGTACTCGCCGTCGCCAACGCGTAAAGGCCCGTAAATCTTCCGCAAAATCTTTCTCCCAAACACTCCAAAAGCCGCCTCATCGGGTGTTGTCGTTGTCCATGCTTCTGCGCCATATACCAACACGGGCATGATGAGTGACTTATAGAGCGTGGTTTTCGTACGTCGAAAGAGGATCTTACTCCTGGATTGCCTACACAGTCCAAAGTAGCACTTGTTGGCAAGAGCGATTCTGCGTTGGATTTCAATGCTGACATTATTTTCGGTGTTAATGCGAGACATATTTGCCGCAATAAGAAGAGAGAGGGTGAAATACGTGAGTGCGAAGAGCTTGAGATGCTGGCCAACAGGAAGAATGCCCTAAAATTTTACCAGAGAGTTAGGCGACTTACGGAAGGTTTCATGACCGGGGCGTACTCCTATAAGAACAATAATGGCGACCTAGTAACTGATGACCAGAGCGTACTTAAATTATGGAGGGAACGCTTTTCTGCTCTACTAAATGGTAGCAGCACAGAAAGTTGTGGAGAAGAAGAACCCGAGCCCGCAGTCGATGACGACGGAGTCGACGTTCCACCGGCTGACTATGACGAGGTACGTATAGCAATAACGCGGCTGAAAAACAACAAAGCCGCTGGAGCTGACAGCCTGCCAGCTGAGCTATTCANAACAAAGCCGCTGGAGCTGACAGCCTGCCAGCTGAGCTATTCAAGTACGGCGGCGAGGAGTTGATAAGGTGCATGCATCAATTCTTGTGCAGAATATGGTCGGATTTACGCATGCCCGCTCTGCCCAATCTAAGTGTGCTCTGCCCAATCCACAAGAAAGGTGACCCCGCCATTCGCGCCAACTACCGCGGGATCAGCCTTCTAAGCATAGGTTACAAGGTCTTATCGAGCGTATTGTGTGAAAGACCGAAGCCCACCGTCAATGAACTGATTGAGCCTTATCAGTGTGGCTTTAAATCTGA